CCACTATTTCTGTTAGTCATATGGATACCTAAGTAAATAATTTGTTAGTTATTTCAAGTTTTGCGACCTTAGAGATCTCGTCTTTCTCTTCTTGTGTGCAATTCTTGGTCATTATCTTTGGGTTTTTTGTATTTAATTTAAATCCTGCTACCTTTCCATATTTTTGTATTGTGTCTAACAATGGTACTATCGAGGTCTCTGGCTCTTCCAAAATAAAGACTAGGTCGTCCGCAAATGCTTGGAGTTTGAACTCTTCATCTTTAACTTTCAGTCCTTTTATTTGCTTGTTTTCTCTTACTAGATCATTTAATGTTTCTAAGACAAACAGTAATGGAGATAAGGGGCACCCCTGCCTAGTTCCTATTTGTATTGCTAATCTTTCTGTCAATTCTCCATTAATTATAATTTTAGCTTGTTGTTCTTTATATATTGCCGAAATCATTGAAAGAAAATCATTACCACAGTTCCATATTCTCAGTTTCTGAATCATATATTCCCATGATACATTATCAAATGCCTTTTCCGCATCCACAAATACCAGCGCTAGATGCTTCTCCAGGTGTTATTACCTGTTGCTCTTTCTCTTTCTTAATCTTGTAGGCTAACCATCTAGTTGGTTTATTTGCATGTTCGAAATATTACTGTTTAGCATGTTCTATATTTTTGGCTATTTCTTGTGTTAACAATAAATTCATCTCGTATTGCAACATATTTATATTATTCTTTATTTTCTCGATGTATTTTCAAGCGGCATGAGGGCCAAAAACAAGGGGAGTCAGAAAAGATTCATCCCATGAGTAGAGTTCTTCCGGTTCTTTGGATAGAACTCATAATACATCAGTGAATATAAACATATTATAATTCGGGGGAGAGGGGAGGGAGAACAATTCTTTAAGCCCAAATTTGGGCCTGCAGCCTCCCAGTGTGCTCCTAATTCATTAGATTAGGGTTATTCATTTCAAAATCTTACTTTAGAAATCTGACAATTACGTATATGTATTTGAATGACAAAGTACCAGAGGGGAAACAAAGAAAAAATAACCTTACCTTGTTTTTTATCATCCATTTTACAAATTTATAATCATAAGGCTTATCCTCTTCCATGTCCGATAAATCCACATCTTTTAAACAAGTAACAGAAAAACATTACTTTTGCAGGACTTGCTTTTTCTATAAATAAAGAGTACTTTCACACAGATTTTTGTAGAATGGTAGACTCGAGGAGAAAAAGGGTTTCCTTTCCACTTGTGCCACACGCTCTGCTAGAGAGAAGAACTGTGTGTATAAAAATCATTATGTTACATTATACTTTCCTTTCCCGGGGGGCTATTCTCCATGCTCCCAATTTGCACATTAAAGCCAGCGTGGTATAGAGAGCACACATAGTGCAGCTATTAAGAGTCTCACACTAGGATCTCAGTGATCCAAATGCCTACTCTTCTATGGAAGGTCACTGGGTGACCTTGGGCCAGTCACTCCCTCTCAGTCTAACCTATCTTGCAGGGTTGTTGTGAGTATAAGATGAAGAAGAGGAGTCCCCATTGGGAAGAAAGGCAGAGGTATAAATCTATAAAAATAAATATCCTTAAAAGTAAAGCTAGACAACGATTAAAAGAGGATGCTGCCAAAAAAGTAGGCCCTCTGATTCGTTAGCCTCCTTTCCATTGGTTGCACTATGTTACAGAAGGAGATACAATGCCAGCATTTTCAGAGGCTTCAGAAACAAATACTTTATTGTTCTGTTTAGTGCCACCTTCACTGAAGCACAAGATTCATTAGCTTCATGAAAATTATATGCTACTTATATTAACTACTCATAAAAGAAATAAGCAACTGCAGTCCTCAGTTCTGTTCATACTGCTCTCATCCCTGCCATAGAATAAAACATTCACTAACTTAGTGTGGATACATCAACCACCATGAAGTATCCTCCCTCTGGAACAACAGGTTTCAGTCCAGCTTCTTGCAGCATCCGAGCCAATTGGTTCCGCTTGCCCTCCAGTTCCTTAGGCAGAGAGTAGAAGTAGCAGTCTGACTCATCCATCCGTTTGAAATCTATCAAAAGAGCTTGTGCCACAGCCTCCTGAAAATCAAAATCAATAAAGAAAATCATCCTGAACCATAGGTTAGCAAGAGATGGACATAAAACAGACAGTGCAGATCAACTTAAATTGCTTCACTAAAAAAATGCTAAGACCTCCAAAATCCTTTAAATAGCTTTTCCTTAAAAGGCTTCTGCCGAATAAACCAGATATTCAGATGAGAGAGAAAAAATGTGTCACAAGTCAGTTTTAATAGCCTCAAAAAATGGATCTTCCAAAATTAGTGAATATATTTCTACCAATTATTAGAATTACACACACACACACACCCATGTCTGATACTGAAAACTACCAGTGAAGCATTAGAGTTGACCTGTTAACACAATCTGTTCCAACAGATTATCAAGGTTAGACAGCAACACACTCCCTCAGTCCTTAACAGTTCTTAAAGTAGGCAGGTTTCTCCCACCATATGAGAGTTCTGCTTTAGAATCATATGAGAGTTCTGCTTTAGAATCAAGTCCCTTACACCACTGGCTACTTACCAGGTAGGTGAGAGTGACAGCATGAGCCTTCATACACTCACAGAGTTTGGTGACCCTTTACCCATCCCCCTAAATAGTTCATCAGTGTAATGATACACTTCACTCAAAAGAACCTTGCAATACTGGTGCTGCCACAGAAGAGTAGGCCATGAAACACACATACACACATACCAATTCGTAACAGTATTTGATAAACAAATTATTAGATGGAGAGCAAAGATTAAATTCCCACACACCTCCGTTGAAATCTGTATAGAAAGCCTACTTCTAAATGCAGGCTGATTCTGTCAATGCAAAAACCTCTTCCCCAGCAGAGGAATATCTCCCATCCTTCATTTGAATGTGACTTACTATGTTATGAGGGGCTGCAGTGGCTCAAGTGGTTAAGATGCTGAACTGCAGACTGGAAGGTCAGTAGTTCAGCAGTTTGAGACCCGAGTGCCGCAAGACAGAGTGAGCTCCTGTCTCTGGTCCCAGCTCCTGCCAAACTAGCAGTTTGAAAGCAAGAAATTGCAAGTAGATAAATAGGTACCACTTCGGTGGGAAGGTAACAGTGTTCCATGTGCCTTGGCGTTTAGTCATGCCAGCCACATGACCACGGAAACGTCTTTGGACAGCGCTGGCTCTTCGGCTTGGAAACAGAGATGAGCAGCACATCCCTAGAGTCGAATCTGACTGGCTTTTGAGCAAGGGAAACCTTTACCTACTAAGTTATGATGCATTTAGGGCTGAGGGGTTAATATATCAAAATTAGGATAGACACTGTTTGCTTCCACATGCATCTATACCCACCTGTAATGGAGTCGGACATGTATAGAGTGAATTTTGGTGAACGACTTGCAAATGTTTTATCAGATGCTGGGGACCAATGGACCATCCAAGCTTAAACAAAAAATATAAACAGTAATAAACATCTAGCACATTACTAAATTTTTACAAAGTATTAAAAGCTGGAAAGCACTGAGGCAATCACATTTTAACCTATCTGTTAAGTACTTCACATCAGCCTCCCAAATAAGCCCACAAACTGTTTGCTTTGCTTGCATAAAAGTTGCTGCCATTGGTTGGCTATTACTAGTCTAACAGTACAATTCTGAGAACACTTTCCCAGGAATAAGCTTCACTAAATAGGCCTTACTCCCAAGTAGACCAGCTTAGGATAGCTCCTAAAAGAATGTTCTTGCAATTTTCAAAAACTTCCTTGCCTAGTGCTAGAGACAGCCTAGTGAATAGCTATTTACAAGTCTGTCCTACATTCCTGCCAGGAAAAATACAAGTTATTTTTCTGGAAAATATTCTGCAGTTAAAAGTATGAACATTTAGTTGTGTGTATATCTGTATTCACGGATGCCACAAAATGAAACTTTCTAAAATTAAATCATATTAAAATGAATCCTATTTATGTAAAAGGCCCCCATGACCTGGTCCAAAGCATGGCTACACATACACAAGACAATGTAGGGTTCTGATCGCAGCCCTCATGCTGTGTCTTCCTACACTAGAGGGTCCCTCAACCTTTCCAGTGTTTTGGAGGGAGGGTTGTTGTCATGACATGAGCTCCTAGATGTCCTAATGTACATACATTTTCTTTGGATACTGACTTCATATTTATTTATTTATTTATTTATTTATTTATTTATTTAACTTTTATCCCACCCTCCCGGCCAAGGCCAGCTCAGGGTGGCTTACAGAAACAGAAGAAAATTCCAGCAATACATATAAAAACACAACAACAGGTGATATAAATACAATCTTAAAACCAAATATAATAGTACCTCACTTTTTATCATCAGCTCCATTGGTCTGCTCAGTTGTTATTGGGGCGGTTGGCTCGGACACTGATTAAAGGGTCCAGCGGATCAGGGCTCTTCTACCATAGAAAGTCAATTATTGTTGGTGATGGTAACAGTGGTCGTGGTGGTAGTGGTCGTGATGGTAGTGGTGGCGCCTCCAAAGGCCTGGTGGAAGAGCTCCGTTTTACTGTAGAAGGTCCTGCAGGGCCCTGATCTCCCCCTGGAAGCTCATTCCACCAGAGTGGAGCTGCCACCAAAAAATCCCTGGCCCTAGTTGTCGCCAGCCTGGCCTCCCTAATGCTCAGGAGGACCAGCCAATTCTGGGTCCCTGATCGCAGTGCTCTCTGGGGTACATATGGGAAAAGGTGGTCCGTCAGGTATGTGGTCCCTGGCCATAAAGGGCTTTAAAGGTAAGAACCAGCACCTTGAAGCGAATCCGGTATGTTATAGACAGCCAGTGCAGCGCCTTTAGCACAGGCTGGATGTGCTCCCGAATAGGGAGTCCCATCAACAGCCTGGCTGCAGCATTTTGCACCAGCTGCAGCTTCCGGATTTGTGACAAGGGCAGTCTCATGTAGAGGGCATTACAGTAATCCAGTCTCGAGGTGACCATCGCATGCATCCCTCTCCATGACACTACAGTCTTCTAAATCTGACATTAAAACTGAGATAGCAAACTTGATATCTCTCTGAAATGTAAAGTGAGATTCCAAAGACTGTGGGGCACCCATCACAAGTGTCGCACTTCAGGTTCCATAATTTTCTTAATAAGATATTTTGAAGAGAGAGTATATATTGAGTTTGTACATGACATAAATTCCCCTAAATAAATCGGAGATATAAAACAATACCCCAGCTGAACTTCAGAATACTTTTTTCTTCATTCAACTGGTCTATTATATTATTCACTTTACCTTCCAGCCAGTTACAGTGTATGTTTTCCCAACACTTCCTATAGTTACTGTTCTTTCCCACATTCCAGGCAAAGTAGCTGTTTGAAAAACACACAGAGAAAGTTATCTGATTACTAGTACACATAATGAAAAGCTTTACCTCATTAGTACAGGTACCCATACTGGACAAAACTGCCTGTTACTCTGAATTAATATGAAGTTGCATCACACTGTTCGAATGAGTACTTATTGACATTACATTATCCTCTTAACCCACAACCATATTCAAATATCATATAATGTGTGGAAGAAAGGATGCACACAGACATCCCTCTCTACAGGAGCCAATGCATGTTTTTCTTCTGCAGGGCAAGTTTTACCATCCTCTGCCTTTCCTCCTCTGCCAACAATTCACCAGGCTTCAAATTCAGAGCTGATCCAGGCAGGCTTTCAACTTATTTATCAATCAGGCACCTGGCAAAGTTTATTCTTTCAAATATATATTTGATGTTTTTTAAAACGCCAGTCTGTTTTGTTTTTTACACGTCATACTGCTCCAGGCAGAGGAGGGGTAAATGGCTTCATGATTGTCACATGAGTCAGGCAGCTTCTGCTGGGGGGGAAAGAACCACCAACTGCTCCTGAGCTCAATTCGCCAAGGAAGTCTGTCTTAGCAAAAAGGTGGTGTGCAGATGCAAAACAAGCTTACTACTCAAGCTATGTACATCTGCACCCACCTCAAGTCTACAACAGAGAGATGTCCACGTCTTCTTTGATTAATCAAGTAATTTTGAATTACAAGGTAACAGCTCTTGGCACTGAGCTAATCATCATACTGGCGGTATCTATATATCTAATAGCCAAGTGGCCCCATCTGTGCGGATCGCTAAATCCGCACTTCAGGGGCACTTGGGGGGCAGGGGGAGGTTTGTGCACACGTGGGGCAGTCCCCACGTGTGCACAAAAATCTTGAATGTGGGAGGGAAAATGCGCAGGAAACGCTCTGCGACCGCTGCTGCCACCGCCGTCGCTGGAAAGGCAAGCGGGGAGCCGGAAGGGGGGGAAGAGAAAAGCTCGCTTCGGAGCCGGGGGCACCCGCACGCGCCCGCTCGCCTCCGCCATGATGCGCTCCGGCCGGCGCCTCGGGGCGGGAGG